AAAAAAAAAAAAAAAAAAAAAAAAAAAAAAAAACAAACAAACAAACAAACCACCAACAACACCAACGGCCATGTGCCTGACTGAACTGCTCGAAAAGGCCAGCCCGAGTTTCAACTGCAATTGAAACTCGGGCCCTAACTAAACTGTGAGAACGCAGTTTGAAATGCAATTAGAAACTGTAACCCTCACTGCGCCGTAGTTATTTCATTATTGACCCGCCTACCACACTGTGCGACGTTAGGGTTCGAACACAGGCACATCCTGACGTGCCAACAGCCTGACATCGGATACACTTCAAAAGAAAGCAGTCCCCAAAAACAGACAAGGACCTTGTCCACCTAAACGGTTATCTCATCGAGCAATTGGGTATTTCAAAATCTGTACGTGGGTTCAAACCCCAACCCGACCAGTACAAGCGAACTTCAAATACTTACTAATATTATATATATATATATATATATGTATGTGTGCATGGGTGGGTGGGTGGGCGGGCGGACCCTCCAACTTTTCTTTCTTTTCCATTTTCCCACCCGAGGCCCTCTTCTCACTGCCAACGCCGGCCGCCGAAAACGCCAAAATGGACAAAGAGGATAACAGCAAAATAAAAGAGAAACGAAAATGGAAAGAAAAGAAGGGAAAAAAAAAGAAAACCGGTCGAAAACAGGAAAAGAAAAGGGGCGCGCCACAAAATGACACTTTCTTGCTATCCGACGGCAGGCTCCTCGAGATATTCCCTCGCATCAACGCTCGCTGCCACCCGGCCCGATGGGCGCGGTCTCTCGTTTTTTGGCGCGCTATGAACAATTTGGTACGCGCACCGCTCTGCACGCCGCCCCACCCTCCATCACGTTCATCCACAGGCCCTCACCAAAACTTCGGCCCGATTCCAGCGCGCAGCGGAACACAACCTCCCCCCGCGGGCCGCTCGCGCTTAAGGGGTAGGATAGTACTCGGCCATGAATTAGCCTTAATGCGCGCGAAAAAATGTTTTGACATTGACTCGCTGAGTTCGTATTCATTCATTCTGGCCCTAATTTGCAAACCCTTCAGATCCCACCATCTCCACAGAGCCAATTCCTCCCGGGCCTTTTCAAAGATTTCCAGATATTGCTGGGAAGAAGCATTTTCACTCAAATTGGCCTCCGCGATCTTCAACGCCGACTCCAACATCTGCCTTCTTTGTTTCCTAATGAAAGAAAGATTTTTGGAGAGCTTCGCAACCGTCTTGGACAGGTTCAAATAGCTTTTTTGGAACCATTCCCACCGATCCTGAGTGACTAGCAGAGAGTTTCTTTGCCGTTGCCAGCACTCCCTCACCCCTTCTTGGAAGTTCTGGCTCAGTAGCAGGGAGTTGTTTAGTTTGTGGAAGCTATTCCCTTTTTTGACCGACTGCTCAAAGCTAATTATCAATTCTATAGGCTTGTGGTCTAACCCTGGATATGGGGCCATGGGTAATACCTGTGTGTCTTTGACCGCCCCCATCAATGTTTCTGAGATTAAGAAGTAGTCTATACGTGAAAAAGCCGTATGCTGAGCGTGGTTCTTTTTTATTAACGAGAAGGCTCTGGTGGACGGGTGCATGGTTCTGAAGGGGTCGATCAGACTATGATCTATCATCAACTTTTGGACTGGCAAGGCCTTTTGAGAGCTGCTCGGGTTAGGTGAGCGGGATATCCGATCCATGGAGGGGTCCAAGGTGGCATTCCAGTCCCCTGCCACTATGCATGGAATCAACGGGGGAATTATTTTGCCCAGGCAAGGTATGAAGCCAGTCCTCTCCGTAGGTTCATTAGGGGCATAAACGTTGAGCAAACAAAACTCCTCTTCATTCCATCTCAAATGCATGGAGCACCACCTCTCGTTGATAAGATCGGCTTCCCTATCCAACACCTCCCCATCCCGGAGGAATCGCGAGGAGTTGGGTATTAAGATGGCCGTGCCTTTCGTACTTGAAGTGTTGTCCTCTGCCCATACTTCCTCCTTAATCCCTCTCAATTTCCTTGCAACCAACTTTTTGATCCTAGCATGTTCACTGGATGCAGTAAGATGAGTTTCTTGTAGCAGTATGATGTCTGCTACCTTCTTGTTGCTCACTGATAAACCATTTATTAAGTCGAACATCTTGTCTTCCTTCTCCTGCGCATTACCCAGCCCATTGACGTTCCAACAACGAAGAACAATCCCTTGGTGTCTCCACTCGTCCTGGACAACCCTTGTATTGGCCGTTCTCCTAAAGTCCTCCATTGCCCCAACCCTAACCGCTGGCTGCAAAATCTAGACCATCCAACTGTCCTTTAAGAGGGGATTAGGCCACCTGTGTCCACCCCTTTCAGGTCTTCTCCCTTGTCGGACCCCCCTGAGTCCTGCATCGACCTTGAAGGTGAGGTCGAACCGGTGTCGTCCATCTTGTATGGCCCCATGCTTTCCTCGTTGTCTTTCCCCAGTTTCGTCCCCTGTTCCATCTTTCTCCCCTCTTTTTCAATTTCCACATCCGAAAGCCAGCCCAAGGAATCGTTGTCCAACCCATCGCTCATGTAAAACTGGTCCCAGTCAACCGCATACGCTCGTGTGTCTAGATCTCCATGCCTGCTGTCACCAGGAATGCAATTGAAACAACGTTCAACTCCGCAGGCAGGCCTGAGCCTGCCAGGATGCTGTATGGGACTGTTGTTACAGTTCTCCAGGGTCGCCATCTCATCCCTGATCTCAACAGTGCGGTTTCCGGCAGCTCGACAATCAGCGGCGTGAATGCCTGGGGAGGATGTTTCCTTGAATCTGTGGTTGTCTCCTCGTTCTGATCCCCTTGCTCTTGACCCGATTGAGAGTGTGTGTCTTCCTGTGTTGTTTCATTTGGAATTGTGTCGTACACCCCCAATGGATAGACAGTGGTAAACTTTTCCAGAGGACCTCGGCTACATTCTGACCTTCCTCAAAACCGGGAATCTGGAAGGACACGTCCGTAGCAATCTGCCACTCACCTACCCTCGACACATATCTTGCCGCAATAAGCGGCCGAATGTTCATCAGGGTGTTCCGCGCAGATCTGGCAGTTTCCTCCACAAGGGGTGCTGTTTTTTTGGCAATGTGATCGATTGTGGTGAACTTCAGGGCGTATTCCTCATTCAGCCTCTTCAGCTTGTTTGTTTGGGCTAGTACCACTGCTGCTTCCCCATCGCTTTCTTCTGCCATCTGCTGTCAGCTGGAGGAAAAATGTTCGGTTTCTTGACCATATGTTTCTTGTCTACGTAGTGCCAAACCCAATCTGGTTCCTCCAAGTTTTTGTCAAAGACCCAACCATCGTAGTTACTGTCTGCGACAAACCATATACCCGGGGCCTCTTCCACTTCGACCAGCATATTGGGAAGGAGTTTACGCTCCTTTGGCTGTTTCGGATATTTGGGACAATTGGGATCGGTCCCCATGTGACCTCGCCCCCTGCACCGAAAACAGACTGGGGAGCTTTATGTGGAAATCTTGATGTCAGCGACTCTGTTTTCAATTCGTAATTTCCATGTTTCTGGGAAAATAGGGGGGCTGTCCGTCTTAACCTCCAGAACTGCAGTCAGCAACCCGCAATGCGGGGCCAAAAATTCGGGTGCTAGCAGAACCCATTTAAGGATCCTATTTGTTGTGTATTGTTTTTCTAGCCTGTCCACTAACAAGCCTTGGAATCCAAGCGGAATGTTGTCAAACTGAACCCATAAGTTCTCTTTCAAAAGTGTTTGTTTGTACGAAACCGAGAACATTGGATCTTGTCTTCGGGTGTTTAGTTTCTTCCGCTTGGAGATCGTGCAAACTGAGCCATTACAGTTCCTGATTGCATTTTTGCAGTTGCTTTTGCGTGTTCTTCCCGGATGAACAAAGCCAGGACATTGTTCGACCCAAAGTTTGCAGTGTGAAGATTTCGCCAGATTGCTTGAGCTTTGGTTCCTTCTTTATTACTTCGATCACCCATTTCCTCTTCTCTGCCGGCTGGAGTTCTGCTCCATTGTGTGTGAAGTTGAATACCAAGCCATGTCTTTTGTGCAGATCGTCCAGCTCAGCCACTTTCTCTTCTGGATACTTCCAAACAATTACCTCTTCTTCTTTGCCGTCCACCTTTTGTGTTTTCGTTATCTGTATCCCTTGAACCTTCGTCCTGTCAATCATAAATTTGAGAGCTTCGTTATCAATCACATTGACACATTTTTCCACCATGTTTGGGTTCATTGCAACCGCGTTTTGGGACGAGGATGTCATTCTCTTACAATTGGGGAAGCTGATCCTGTTAACCACCCCTTATACCGTCCGAATGTCAAAGCCTGTTTGGGGCGATGCCCAGGAGGAGCTACAACCATGGTATCAGGGGTTAGAGATAATAACGGGAGCGTTCAAAATTTTATACAAGATTTTCCTCGGAGAAGTCTTTCACTTTTGAAAGAGTTTCGGCAGCATTTAGCCTCCCCTCTTGGGGATAGGTTTTACAACCAGGTTCAACGTTATAAGTGTGGTTTCGGCTTTGAGAACTGGTGCAGCTACACGGTCGTAGTAAGACGATTTCAGAGGTCTCCCAGGTTAAACTCGGTTAGGACCACTGTAGAAATAAGATTGATAGAAGGATAATGACCATGAGACTAACAAAAATAAGAAAATAATACTAATGGGTACTGACTTTATTGCATGGTGGTAATGTTAATGCTCGAGGGGAGTGGGCGAGTGCTGGGGAATGAACGACGTTGGGTGGGAAGAAGAAGGGCGGGGAAGGGGATTATTATGTGGTTAGAGAGGAGGGGCGAAGAAGAGGGGCTGGTGGGTGGCTACACTCGTAGTAGGGGGGGGGTGTAACGGGGTGCGCTTGAGATAGATTGGGAGTAGGATCGAGGTTGGGATGGAGACGAGATCCGGTCCCGGGTTGGGGGAGATCAAGCCGTGGACGGAACAGGATCGGGCTGGGATCGGGGATAGAAACAGGGTGGGATCGAAGAAGGATCGAGCTAGGACAGGGACAGGTTCGGAATGGGATCAGGGTGGGTTGGGGATGGAAGAGAATGGGGGTAGATGGGGTCGGGATGGGATCAGGATGGAGTCGAGATGGGATCTGGCTGGGACCAGGGTGGGGACAGATGGGATCGGGATGAAATCGGGAAGGGATCGGGCTGGGATCAGAAAGAGAGCGGAATGGGATCGGAACGGGGTCGAAACAGAAATAGGCTGGGATAAGGTGGGGACGGATGGAATCGGGATGAGATCGGGATGGAAACGGGAAGGGATCAAGCTGGGACCGGGGAGAGACGGGATGGGATCGAGATGGTATCGGGCTGGGAACGGGTAGGTGGCTGGCTAAGATCGACGGGCGGTAGGGTGGATTTGAATCTGGAGAAAAGAAGGGGGGGGCGATTTAGAGGCTGGCGAATGACAAAAGAAGGCTGAGAGGGAAGGATCGGGGAAAGACGTGATATAGGAGGGTGGCTGGACTACCAGACAAGAGGGATATTCGAAGATGATTGATTAAAAAAGGGAGTTGTAGGAGGAAGACAAATACAGGTCGATGATGGGTGAAGGCGATCGTGGGGAGCTTGGGTGAATAACCAAATGAACAGGAAGTAGAATATAAACACCAGTAGAAAGAGAGGTTGGGAGCAGGGGGGATGGAAGAATAAGGGCAGACAGAACGGACTAAGCGAAAAATGATGGGGGCGATTCACGGAAAGGTTAATAGAAATTAGATGGGAAGTTAGAATAAGAAGGCGAACGATCAGAATGGTAATGAGGAGAGAAGACTGTTAGTGATGATGTTGGGGAGTCAATGGAGTCAAAAAGGTCTCACTCGTGTAGCGCTGGATCGTTTCCTGCTGTGTCGTTTGCTGTCCCGTTCCGGCCTTCTTGAGACCGTTCGTGCTCTCTCTGGTTGACACTCCGAAGTAGTCCCTCACTCTGCTCTCTCTCCCTCTCTCTCTCTCACTCCACTCCCTCTCTCTGCCTCTCTCTCTCACTCTCCCATTCTCTCACTCTCTCTCTCTCTCTCTCTCTCTCTCTCTCTCTCTCTCTCTCTCTCTCTCTCTCTCTCTCTCTCTCTCTCTCTCTCTCTCTCTCT